GGAATGGGTGTGCGCGGTGCTGCGCACGGGAGGATTTCTATTTCGTGAAAATGGCATGTATCTTTCTGCGTTCCAGTGGAAGATTCATTCAAATTTTTATGTGCTTGGAAGGGTACGATTGCGGGTGCGAAGCAGAGAGAGAGAGAGAGAGGGAGAGAGAGAGAGAGAAAGAGAGAGTACGTGTCGAGCTTACCTGGCTCGCAGGACTGTCGATACGGGACGAATCGAAGGATCAGCTCTTGGTTCCCGCGGTGCGGGCTCAAAAGGCTGTGTGGAGCTATCGAGTGACGGGGTTATAGCAGGAGACTTGGTCGAGGGGCGCATGTACCTGTGGGAAGGGAAGGACTCGACCGCTGATACGGGCCAGACGTCGATGAAGGGCTGCTCGGTTCGGGATGTCTTTGTCGCTATACGTGATGACGGATGCTTGACAGGGGCGACTCCCTGGTTCAGTGGGTGGTGGGAGTCGACAGTTTGCGGGGTTTGATCATGATGTGAAGTCGGTCGAGTGTCGCCTTGCCTCCGTAGAGGATGTGTGCGGTGCTGTACGGAGTGAATGAGTTGTTCGTTTGGTTCGTGACTGCTCCGGTGCTACTATGCCTTCCGTAACTACCGTTATAACCGAGGTGATCGTCAGGCACCTCGTATCTGATGACCTGCCGAGAGTATCCTCGCACGGACGCTGCCCATCGAAAAGTGGGGCCCTTTTGATCCTGTCGGCTAGGATCTCTGTTGAGACCGTAATGATAGTACTCGGTGTAAAATAAGGAGGGAGGGGGCGCTATCACAGAGGAAACCGAGAGGAGAGGACGCAGCGGGGCATCGGGGAACAGTTATGCAGGAGTGCAAGAAGCAGGGAGGCGAGAGGAGGAAGTAGGAGTTTGTCTTGAGACCACGGCCTGTGGATACGACTGTGGGCTATGAGCCTATGCTATCACTGTATACTGTGTTGCCAGGGGGCACTCACCACGCATTAGGCACACAGTCTGTTAAGTGACATCGGACTGGTGCTTGGCCCACGTCACACAGTTGTTGTGCATGTGGCAGCGTCTTACCTTTGCTGCCGAGCACACTGGGTCTGTTATGGGGGCCTAGCTGTTGAGATGCCGGCATATGTGCTTGCTGCAAGCGGCTGTTTGTTGGAGGGTCGTTGCTGAGCCTGAAAAGATCACAGGACGCTGTTGTTTGCTGAGAAGCCGCTGTCCATGTTGCTGCTTGCGGTGCCATCAGACCACCACTGATCCGAGCATTTGCTGTGCTCTTTGAACTCGCGCAATTGCTGATGTTGGTGATGTCATGAGCACGGTGGTTGTATAGAGCCGAGTGATTGCAGTTTTTATCGCAGGAAAACGAAGGTGGTATGATCAGGTTTATGGAGGGGGTTATTGCTGTGATCCGAGAGGTCGTCAGAGGGTTACCGCTACGGCTTGAAGTTTCGTCAGGGTGCCATTTTGTCAACGGTCTGACGTTGAGTGGACCAGCGGCCGCGCGCTTGGCCACCATTGCGGGGCCCTCAGGCGCGTCAAGGAATCAAGGCCCTCTCCTGTGAGTCTGAAAGCACCTCTCTTGGATCTGAGAGTCTAAAACTTTCTCCTTTTATCTTTCTTACTCTAAGTCTCAGTCTAGTCTTTGGTTACGAGAGGAAGGCGGCAGGCGGGATTGCAACCCGTAGGTCCGCATCAAGACTCTGTGGGGAGTCCACCCACCGATTGCGGGAGCTCTGCGGGAACTCAGGAGGAGTTCTGGAGGCAGGGAACCTTCAGGTAAATCATCTTTATCTGTATAAACCCCACTACTACCCATGTTTGCCTATCTCCCTGCAGTATGATTGTTGTATGCAT